AAAATCTAAAGGTTGGGGCTTCACTTGGCTGATGGAAATCCGAGATGTCTCTCTCACTCTAGGAGCTAGGGGTTCACTTTCCTTCATCAACATTGACGTAGGGATATTCTTGAGTTATATATACATGTTTTGCAAAAGTTAAAATGTTAATTTTGTGTTCTATTGATTATTTGTCTGAGAGTTTGGTTTTGGTTCTGGTTCTGGTTGCGAAGATGATGAAGATTTGTCTCAAATGAGGGTTTAAATGTTTAAATGTTCTAGTTGATCCTTGTGATTTCTTAAATTTATTGTTTAAAGAAATGATGATTTTGATGATGTTTTTCATCATAAAGTGAAGAAATGTTGAGTTTTTTTATAAAAACACCTAGAAATTGGGGATTTACAAAAATAATGAAAATGTCTTTGAAATTATTTATTTTTATGTGTTAAGAGGACGTATGGAGTGTAAGTTCCACCAAATGTTTATCATAATAACAAACATACTGACCACATGGGATATGAGATGGTATTTTAACTTGTTGCTAACACTTGAACTTGTAATGGGTAAGATGATAATTGTTGAGCACCAATAGTAATGAAAAATCTGAAATCTTGAAGGATGATGGTTGAAAATTTCAATATAATCTTGTATGTGTAGACGGTAAGTTGTTGAAGTTGTCATTGATGATGTAAAAAGCTTAAATATATGTAATGGGGAAAATGAAAATGAGAAGATGATATTTTGGCCATGTTGAAAGGTTGGTCCATGATGGGTGTTGGAAACTTGTTGGTGATGTGTTGAAAAACACATGAATTATTTGTGCAATGAGAAATTGTATTGTTAAAGTGGAAAGGTTTTGTTTATTATTGTTGTTGAGACATTTTGGAAATACGAGAAATGTTATGAGATATTAATTATTGCATCTCAATTTCCAATTTTGAGTTTATATCACCAATGTGCATGAAGTAAATTATTTACCATTGGTTGCATTCTCAATCAATGTTTAGCTTGAGAAGATTATATTACCATGAGAACTAATGGAAATACTTGTGTGATTCCATCTGGAGGATTGACGATTTCCTCCCGTATGATGAGCCTCATTTTTTCCATTTCGATTTGCCGGAGATTGGTACTGAAAGGGATGAACGGCTATCCTGAAAATTGAAACTGTTAGGACTCTACATCCAGGGTGTAGTTTTACGTCAAACTGGTGGTCTTTCTGAACTTGCTGCTGATACGCCTGGACTGGAAAGTGACATGCGTGATGCCCCTACTCAGGCTGCGGAACAAACTGTGGACATTGATCCATCTGGTATACTTGACAATGGCCAATGTGAATTTTTCGTTGTGTTGAACGGGTTTCCTAATCTTGCGTATACGCCCAAGTTTGAAGATGTTTTCCTGTGGTCCAATGGTGACCCACGAACTTGCTGTATGGTTAGGGGCACTGAAATAGATCGTTTTGTTGTATTGCGGCGTGTCCCCATTGTAATGTTGCCGCAATCAAATGAATATCCATTTGTTAGCCGTCAAGGCGTTAAAACATTTATCAACATCGGAAAAAATGTTGTATCCGAATTTCGCGATAGTTTAGGTCAATTTAGCGGCTCGTATAATAATATTGTAAAAAATGCAATTATTTGTTATTTTGTGTGGGAATGTCGCACAAAATCGATTGTAAGGGCGCATCTGAATTGTAGATTGAAATATTGTTACTAGTAAAATAATTTCTTCTTATTACAAATATTGGTTACAAATTATTTTACAGTTGCCTCCGTTGTACATTTGCTTTCTGGGTTGATGTGGATCCTTCCACTGCGGCTTTTACAGCTTCTCCTATTAATTTGGATACCTCGTCCGTAGTGAGTCTTGATGATTCTGAGTTATTGGATCCGGCCTCGCTTACTGATGGGCCTATGTCAGCTGGGCCGCTAGGCTGATTACTTGGGTTTGTAGATCTCTATATAGAAGTTTGGATTTGATCTAGTCTTTCTTGTTGCTTAAAAGTAAAATGGAGTCTTGATTGCATATAAGCATTTTGAAAGATTGAAACCTTTGATAGATTGTGACACTTGGGGGATTCTGTTATGTAGTCAAACAAATCATATGGATAAATATATCAATGCTAGATTTTGTTTAGAAGATTGTTTTGTTAATGGAGCTTTTTCATTTGTTGACAACACTAGGCATTAGGCAACAACATTAATTAAATGAACTGAATAAACCAGATTATTATATAAAAAAATTTGATAATCTTGATGCATAGTCAGATCATTCTACATGCGGGTTTGACAGTCAGCTTGAATCAGTGTGGTTTTAAATTTTATGGTTTAAAAAAATCAGCATCTGCCAATCAGATTTGATCCTATGACTGAATTCAGACTTTGATGTAGGAGTTTCATAATAAGTTATGCTGTTATGGTTTCCCCTTACTGTCTGAAACATATACGAATATCAGATGTCAATTTAACATTTGCCAGTTGTTGCATCACCCCTGCAGAAAAAAACACAGCATTGATTAATTTTTTTTAAAGAATGTGTATATGCTAGGTTTTGGATGTAATGCCCATTCTTGTTCCTGATTTTGTTTGTCCTCCTCATGTACTTTGGCACCCCAGTATCTACAGAAACAGTTTCACTCAACAGTTCCAGTTTTGTTTCACTATTCTGTTCTATTTCATTTTTTAAAGCAGCATTACCTTTCATGATTTGCTTATCTATATGATGGGTGCTGAGCTTAGCCATATCAACACCCTCTCCCTATTATTTCTTGTTCAATGGACATCTTAATATTGAAAAACATTTTTTTGGCTCAATGAAGAATAAGAACCCAAGAAATCCTTTTGGTCTAGATTGGTTACATTTGTCATTTATCTATCCCACCTAATTTATGGGCAAAGGACAGTTGCCTAACCTAAGAAATCCTGAGTAATAAAACTAACCCGAAGGTTATAAAGTCATTTTGTGAATTTAGGATGCATGAAAATGAACTAGCAAAGAATTGAAAAGTATCAACTAGAAGTTAAAGATCATGCAAACAGAGGACCACACCTTACACTGCCCTTGTCGTTCTCTTGATTTTATTTTATTTTACTTTATTTTGGCCAGTGTTTATTTTTCTCTTTTTTCTTTCCTTTTATTTATTTTTCATATTTTTGGGCCTTATGCTTCTGGCACATCGCTGAATGCCTAGAAGAATAGTTTTGAAGTCCTGGCAAGTTTGCTATGCTTTGTGGATTGACAAACTTGTACTGTTTTGACACAGATGTAGGTTGCTGTAAATTGAAACTCCTGAAAATCTAGACATGGGGATACATCTGTTTTTTTGTATGTGTGTTTGTGTATGCATGCATGTGTGTGTGTTGGACCAGTACAACAATTCATTTCGTCATGCAAAAGAAATGTAGAGAGCATGAACAATGATGAATACAAATACTTCATTATAATTTTGTCAACGAAGAGAATACAACAATCACTACTACATGTTTTTCCATGTCAGTAAAGTGGGACTCTTTCCTAAATGCCCAAATGATCATTGAACATGAGTAGACACAATGTTTTAAAAGGCGCGCACTTAGGCGTGAGGTGCCTCGGACATGCGTCTCACGCTTAGGCTCTAGCAGACCTTAATTGGCTAGGTGGACCTCTTTTTAAAGCCATTTCTTTGCGTATATAAGCACACTATAAAATTATAGCAGAACACGAGATGGTCATAGTTTCTGGAGTACTCTAGTTCTTCCATCTATGTAATCAAATCATTCTTACTGAACACGTCGTATATACGCACTTAACAAACATCCCCTTCCATCCAGTTTACCTTGAATTTTCATTTTGGTTGATCGCCTAAGAAATTTTCTACTGACAATGTCTAATTTTTAATTCAATGACAGTTATGGCTTGCACTTTGTGTTGCCACCAATAGCCGTGCTTGGCTTCGCACAGACGTGCTTGTAACAAACATGAGAAACTTTCCTGTCAGTCGGGGCACTGTCGCTGGTATTCTCAAAGGTTATGTGGGGCTGAGTGCTGCAGTGTACACAGAAATTTTCGGCATCTTGCTTCACAATTCCTCTGCCAAGCTCTTGCTCTTTCTCACTTTAGGGATCCCAACTTTATGTATTGTAATGATGTATGCTGTTAAACCTTGTACCTCCGCTTCCGGGGAAGACTCTGCTGAGCGTGGCCATTTTCTTTTCACCCAAGTGGCCAGTGTTTTGCTTGGCTTATATCTTCTCACTACCACAGTATTGAGTCATTTTATTCCTTTGAGTGATACTGTTTCCTATACTTAAATTGTCATAATGATTCTACTTCTCATGGCTCCACTTGCTATCCCTGCAAAGATGACATTATATCCCTCAAATCGGAGTAAGTTAGGAACACTTGGTCGACCAGTAGGGTCTTCGGACCAACTTATTCAAGCAGAAGGTGATATGGACAAATCGGAACCGTTGCTCACCCCATCTACATCAACAACAAATATTGGAAGTTTTCATGAGAGCGATAGTGTTTCGGAGGTGGATATGCTTCTAGCTGAGGGAGAGGGCGCAGTGAAGAAGAAGAGACGGCCCAAAAGAGGGGAAGATTTCACTTTCCGTGAAGCTATAGTGAAGGCTGATTTCTGGCTTCTGTTCTTTGTTTATTTCGCCGGTGTTGGTTCGGGTGTTACCGTTCTCAACAACTTGGCTCAGATAGGAATAGCTCAAGGTGCAGAAGATACAACCGTCCTGTTATCTCTATTCAGCCTTTTTAATTTTGTGGGTCGGCTCGGTGGCGGTGTTGTCTCCGAACATTTTGTCAGGCGAGATACCCATTATTCCTTGTTGATTAATTCCTATTTAATACAATCTCTAGGTAATTCCTACTTATTCCTTGTTGGTTTTTCCTATTTTACAGGTCAAAAACAATCCCTAGGACAATTTGGATGACATTCACACAAATCATAATGATCATTACATACCTTTTCTTTGCTTCTGCTCTTGATGGTATACTCTATGTCGCAACAGCAGTACTTGGAATCTGCTACGGCTTTCAGTTTTCCATAATGGTCCCAACCGCCTCCTAGCTTTTCGGATTAAAGCATTTTGGGATAATCTTCAATTTCATGTCGCTCGGGAATCCTCTCGGTGCTCTCCTCTTCTCTGGTGTCCTTGCAGGGTTCGTATATGATAGCGAGGCAACGAAGCAGCACGATACTTCTTGCTTAGGGGAAGAGAGAGAGAGAGAGAGAGAGAGAGAGAGAGGAACAGCTGAGGAAGAAGACCATCGCGTTGCCCGCCACCCGTCTCCGACGAAGTCGAGTCACCCGCCGCTGCCGCCGCCGAAGATAGCATCTTGTTTCTTCTCGTCTCCTCCACCTCCCCTCCCTTCTCTCTCTCTACACCTATCACTTTCTTTCTCTAACTTCATCATCCTGCAATTGACAGATCTGGGCAAAATCCTCCTTCATCCTCCTATCACTTTCTTTCTCCAACTTCATCCTCCCTTTTTTGTGATAGATTTTTTTTATTAATCTAAAACTCAATTTCCAGTTGGGTATTAATTCTGTTGATTTCATTGGTATTTGTATTTTTGTTTTTGTTTTTGGGCAAACATAATGCTCTGTCTTATCTTCTCTCTTACAAGAATTTTTTTTTTTTTTTTTTCAAATCAATCCATGGTTTTTCGATTTCTTGAGCCATGGATTGATTTTTCGATTTCTTGTCTGTTGTGATTTCTCTGTGATTTCTTGTCTGTTGAACCTTTCTAAGTTTTTCAAATCAACTCTTTCATTTTTCAATCCATTGATTTTTCCATTGTTCAGATAGTACTGATTTTTCGATTTAAACTCAAAAACTCAAAAATCAATCCATCTTTGAATGTGAGATTTCTTGATTTTGAATGATTTTCTTGAGCAAGAAAATGAAAGAGAAAGGCAGAGAAGAAACATGGATTGATTTTTTTTTTTCAAATTTCTCACCAAAACGACGTCGTTTTGGTGAGAAATTTGAAAAAAAAAAAATCAATCCATGTGATTTTTTTTTTTTCAATTTTCTCACCAAAACGACGTCGTTTTGGTGAGATTTAATGTCAACCGTTGGATCAATCACTCTAGGAGATGACTGCAGGCTTCTCACTCTAGAGATCCCGACGCCACTTTCGCCCTCTTTCCTCCTCACTCGCCTCTTCTCTGTCCACATACACATCAAACACACTGTACAAAAACTGAGATTCTTGAAAGCTCAACAACAACCCATCAATGGTGCACCTCAAAGGCGGGTCCAGACCTCCATGGGTGGGTCTTGGAGCTGCTGTTTGGCTCCAAATTGCATCGGGCAACGCCTACAACTTCCCTCTCTACTCTCACTCTCTCAAATCTGCTCTGGGTTTCTGTCAACAACAGCTCACAATGCTCGGAGTCGCCAACGATATTGGTGAGAATGTTGGAATCCTTCCTGGGATCGCCTGCAACAAGTTCTCCCCATGCATTGTTCTTTTGATCGGAGCTTTTGCTTCTTTTTTGGGTTATGGAGTCCTCTGGCTCGCTGTTAGCCAAACTGTTCAGTCCTTGCCTTATTGGCTGGTAATTTCTGGCTTTCTTTGTCTAGATTTGAATTTTTTGGATACCCATTTAAGTGTTTGATTGTTGTTTATTGTTTTCATAGTGTTGTTCTTCATAGTTTTCTTGGCAGACAATTGAATTTTTTGCATACCCATTTGATTGTTTGTTTGTTGTTAATTGTTACATGGTATTGTTCTTAATTTTCTTTGCCTAAAATTGAAATTTATGCATACCCATATAATAGTTTGCTTGAAATTTATTGTTATTATTTTGGGTTCTGACTAGTTCAGGTAATTACTGGGCAAGCGCTTTACGGGATTCGAATTAAACTAGTTTAATAGATTGCTTGTTAATTTTAATTTATTATATGATTAGTGCTATAAAAGTAAAATGGAGTCTTGATTGCATATAAGCATTTTGAAAGATTGAACCCTTTGATAGATTGTGATGCTTGAAGGACTCTCTTATGTAGTCAAACAAATCATATGGATAAATATATCAATGCTAGATTTTGTTTACAAGAATGTTTTGTTAATGGAGCTTTTTCATTTGTTGACAACACTAGGCATTAGGCAACAACATTAATTAAATGAACTGAATAAACCAGATTATTATATAAAACAATTTGATAATCTTGATGCATAGTCAGATCATTCTACATGTTGGTTTGACAGTCAGCTTGAATCAGTGTGGTTTTAAATTTTATGGTTTAAAAAAATCAGCATCTGCCAATCAGATTTGATCCTATGACTGAATTCAGACTTTGATGTAGGAGTTTCATAATAAGTTATGCTGTTATGGTTTCCCCTTACTGTCTGAAACATATACGAATATCAGATGTCAATTTAACATTTGCCAGTTGTTGCATCACCCCTGCAGAAAAAAACACAGCATTGATTAATTTTTTTTAAAGAATGTGTATATGCTAGGTTTTGGATGTAATGCCCATTCTTGTTCCTGATTTTGTTTGTCCTCCTCATGTACTTTGGCACCCCAGTATCTACAGAAACAGTTTCACTCAACAGTTCCAGTTTTGTTTCACTATTCTGTTCTATTTCATTTTTTAAAGCAGCATTACCTTTCATGATTTACTTATCTATATGATGGGTGCTGAGCTTAGCCATATCAACACCCTCTCCCTATTATTTCTTGTTCAATGGACATCTTAATATTGAAAAACATTTTTTTGGCTCAATCCATCTCTGAATGTGAGATTTCTTGATTTTGAATGATTTTCTTGAGCAAGAAAATGAAAGAGAAAAGGCAGAGAAGAAACATGGATTGATTTTTTTTTTTTCAAATTTCTCACCAAAACGACGTCGTTTTGGTGAGATTTAATGTCAACCGTTGGATCAATCACTCTAGGAGATGACTGCAGGCTTCTCACTCTAGAGGATCCCGACGCTAGTCACCCCATCCTAGGTCGTGCCACGTGTGATCCAAGTTGTCATTCATCAACTTTTGGGCTAATTACACAGATTTCCTTAAACTTTCTGATAAATACAAAACCCTCCTTGTAATTTTAATTTTGAGCTCTAAAGTTCGATTCGATGAACTAGTTATTAACTAACTTTGTTCTCTGCTTGATCCAACCCTCCATTTCTGTTAACCACACGGTAAACACATGACCTCGTCTCATCGTCCCATGCTTAGGCTGTGGAGAATCCAAGAACCCAAACACGTATCAATTTCTCAGCATCTCAATCACAGTCTAGCTCCAATTACCACACTCAATCCTCAATCACCAACAAACAT